CCGGTGGAGCCAGGGGGCAAACAGCCACACAGATTGGGAACACTTTGAAACTAACCAACACAGTTAAAAGTAATGATATCAGGTCATTACAAAAGAGCGCCAAGGAAATGCATGGCAAGTTGTACAACTCTCTGTCCAAAGAGGATTTCATTGTGGAAGAGCGACGCGTCCCGGTGGTCACGATCACAAATGGTGTGTTCCTGCAAAAAAGCTACGAGTTCCGGTCCGAATTTAAGAAAAGTTTGAAGGCCGATTTTTCTGGAAGGAAAGAAAAGGTAAGTTTATGTGAACACCCACCCCTGAGGGGTCGAGAGAATAAGTTGGAGAGGAGGGATTTTTAGGCATATTCATCCATTCGGTCTAATGAAATAGTTCAGACGTTGCATTATTTCCTAGATGCAATTGATATTTCGATCACACATACACCGTACTCAACAGATGTTTAGTTTGGAAAGTTTCTGGCGTGATTCATTCACCCCTTTCTCTCTTCCTCCTCATCGAGTCATGGAACGAATTCAGAGGTTTTTAGTTAAAAGATCACCAAAAGACACTAATTTAAATTTAAAAGAGAACACTGCAATGGCTGTTCGAATAACCTCGCCATTCGCAGACGGGAGAGCATACATCTTATGCAATGTCTTTATGAAAAAAGCATTTTAAGTATTGTTAGGCTCAATAACTACACACACCTATATCCTCCATTGTGATTCATTTTTATCTGTAACAAAGCAGATCAACATTCATCCAATTTCTCGTTCACTCACTGCACTCATTCACACTGTGATAATTGCAGATCAATTTCACCGATTCGTATGAAGCTATGCAAAAAATTAACTGGTGGATAAAGGAAAAAACCAACGATCTGATTCCGAATTTTATCACGTCGAAAAACGAACTGCCGAAGGACACTAAAATAATTTTGGCGAATATCCTGACATTTAAAGGTAAGTTGTTAACATACCGGCTCGGTGATATCCCGAGGTAGTGAAATGCTCTGAATAAAAAGCGTCTAACTACAAGGAACGTTTCTAACCATTAGTAAAAAAGGGACTGTAACTGGTCTATGCTATCCGTACTGGATGTAACGGGGGCTACACATGAAGTACACATGTTTGGTGAACTCTACCTGGTAGGAATTTAATATTCTTGTCTAATTGTTAGTCATTTTCAAACTACTCAGTGTTTTTGATTAAGCATTCATTCAAACTTGACCTTCTAAACTTAGCCAGTTGGATGTATACATGGAAATAACGAGACGTGAATTTCTCTCCTATTAAAGTTCATCATTAGTGCATATTCACTGGTCTGTTCCGTTTTCTTTGCACTTGAAATCTTTTGCCTAGAAAGCTTGAGTTATCACTATATCAACCGTGTTAAATTAGAATGGACAGATTCCGGCTTACTCTGGACTTTTGACTACAAATCCTATACACGAAGAGAGGCATAACAGGAATATGTCAATTCCAGTCGGGTGGCTTCCACCGAGTAGGCGTTTTTACAAGAAGATGGACACATTATCCCCTAGCTAAACTCACTAGGCTAGATTTCGTCTTTGACATTTTCAACTGCCCATTAAGTTTTGTTACCCGAGTGGTCAAGTCAGGTGGGAAAACACTTTGTAAACCAAATTGGTGAATTCCTTACGATTCGTGAATTAATACAGTGAATATACCGATATATAAAATGAAAATAAATAAGATATTGTAGTGTAAATGACATTCGGAGGCAAAACTTCTTCCTTAGGACAAGTGACAATTGTAATATGATTTACTGAAAGACGAATAGTGTGGAGATTGGTGTCATGTCCGTTGCTAAATTCCTTCATTTAAAAAGCTGACTTTCGAAGCGAACAGAGAATTCCTTGAAGAAACAAAAGAAGAAATATAGACAATTCAATAATCTCCTTGCTCTATCCTGTATACATGGTGAATGTCCATCATCGTGCTTGGGGAAGGCGTTTTACCATCAGTGAGAGCAGAGAGAAAAACGAGAAAAACGTCTTAGCACAGCACACTTGGATCCCGGCTGTGTTACGCAACTCTCAGTCAAAGGAATTACAGACACAGGCGGTAAGCAATACTGAGTTTTGGTTGGTGAATCGGATACGCACACTCTATAAGAGAGTGCAAAATCGAGGTGTACTGGAAACTAATATTTTTGTGAAAAATGTTTTGTGCAGATGGCGACAAGTTTTCCGCGGTGGATTCATTTTGTCTGATAAGCATAAATCCACTTGTGCATGAAACAGCCCCAACTTATTTGCGAAGGATAGCATGATCTTACGGTCGTAATCCACAAAACCAATTACTGAAAAGTAGCGGAATAAATGTGTTAGAGTTTGGGATGGAGTAATGGAAAAAAGAGCTGCGGACTAGATACAAACAAATGTCTGTATCGGTTAGTCATATCGTTCTTTACATGTAGCTATCAGGTAACGTCAATGGGGACTGTGATACCCGGATCGGCGAAGGAGCACATTATGTGAATTGGAGTATCACCAGTGCGTTGAACAGCTCTGTTCCGCCGAAGGCATGCCCCATACACCTTTCTTCAGAGAAAGCAGAATGGTGCATGATGGGTTTGGTTGAGCGATTCAAATGAGACGAGACTTTGAGAGCGGATAACAATGGTGTTCGACGGTTTGAAAAAGAAGGAAAAAAACTATAGTGCGGCAGTCGAAAATACTGATCAGTCAAAAATTATCACATGAGGTTTACGATTCCATTTCCGTATCATGTGAACGCTACGCCAGTTCGCTTTGGCCTTACCACAGAAATGTTCTCATTCTCTAACTGCATGGCAAATGCGCTGTTAGGTCAAAATTTCCGAATTCTCTGAGATTTATTCTATTAGTTTGATAAGAATAGGAAGAAACACCTCTAAGTCCCATCATGGAACATTGAGGTTAACAAGCATGGGATGAATGCAACTTTTAGATACCTGAATAAACGAAGAACAATTACTTACCCATTTCCATTCCAAAAAATTATTTTCTAAAATCTCCCGTCGAGAACCCAATGGGATCTGACGGAATACATACCCCCCGGTTCATTTCACGATGAGCGTATTTTTGTGTATTGATGAATATCAATTGTGACTCTTTCGGATCACGAGTACAGCACAGGTGGAATCATACCAAAACGAATAAACATAGACCCTCGATCAGCTGCTATCTGGAAAAATTACTACCCAATAGTATGTACCGAACTTTGGTGACAGAGTAGAGCCTGATTCACCGAACATGCGGGTGGGTATTGCACGAGACTAAATCTATCGATTTTATTAGATAAACTGAATTTCTTAAGGATACATGAGATCTTTTCGCTTTCACTCGCGCTCGGTCTGCAAAACTCATGTTGACAGTTTCCTAAATAACACTACTATCCGACCAACGGTTTATCCGGGATGCGCGTATTCAATCCTGTATTTAAACTCAATTCTTGCACTTTTTTATGGTAGAAGGTAGTTGACAATACTGGTTTATAGTTTGGGCAGGCATTTGGGGAAATTATAAAGCAATGGATAGCGCATGTTTAAACCCAAATCAGATTATGTTGCTCTGAGGGACAAAGTCATTGTTTTTTTTATCGAACTACTTGTGATGAAATTTGGAAATTGACAAGATCGGACCTCTATCCTCTTTCCCATGATTACACGGTTTCCCACTGTTCAGCTTTTTATCCTTAGCTCCATTGTTTTTCATCAAATAAAGACAACATTTCCACATTGCCTTGCGTAGTATCTTGCACGATACGGATGAACCACATAAAATCAAACTCAGTGTAAAATCTACTGACTAAAATTCAGCATTTTCACAGTTTGTTATACAACAGTATCAGCATTTGACAAGTGGGTCGCTATCGAAGACAGGGTGGGTGTTTCCAATCAAAAACTAAACAACTAGGGCGACAATAGCCAGGTTTGAAAAAATTAACCGTGAAACTTTATTACATTTACAGGCGGTATCGTTCGACTACTATAAAACCACAAATTGTAGTCGGTTATTCATGGATCATTTTCACCGTCTTCGAGGGAACCATAATTAAGAGGGCGTTTAGTGCACTAACCAACTGTCTGAATACCGTACAACCCTAAGTAAAACAAAAAATAACTCTTGACCAGTATCATCTAATTTTGGCTTGTAAACTATTACTCATAATCTCTTCACCGTGCAGTATTCACAGGTAAGCACGCAGCATTATCCACCATGTGCAGTCGACCTACTCAGGTTTAACTGACCCGTGTGTATAGTACTAAGCTTGCTCACAAGCCCTCACTTCTTGCATTTCAGCGGCATGGCAAGAAACATTTTCTGCGTTGAGCACACAAAAGCAGGACTTTTGGATTACCAAACGCACGTCCGTGAAAGTTCCAATGATGTACGCCGCCCAACCGTTGGGATACGCTACATTTCCACACGAGGGATTTTCATTACTGGAAAAGCCAATGAGAGTGAGTTATCTGTTTAAACATTCGAACCTGTTAAACGCATGCGGTTTTCATTTTAACTTGAAAATATTGACCATCAACGAAATCGCCATGCCAAATATGACAGAAAACACTTCTTAGTTCATTTTTATTTGCCAGAAACGATGAGTCATTTATTCGTGTAATCAAGGCGTTGTCGAACTGTGCTCACACTTGGGCCTATCAGAATCAACAGTTCGAGAGTATAAAACCCGTAGTCAATTTGATTTGATTACATGGTAAATTCATCTTGTAAATGGAACGTGAACTGGTAACACTGAGCAGCTCTTTAAATCTGGTTGGATCTCACCAGCAGTGCAACTTCATCAACCCAGCTGAGGGTTAAACCCGGGATTTCACAGAAAATAAGACCCTCTTAATAAATAATTGTCTTCTTGTTGCAGCTTCACTCCAAATAGCAGTCGCAATCATTACAGCGAAGCACTGTACTTAATTTCTGTGTGTGTGTGGTGAGGTTACTCTCGCCAGTTTGCAGTATCCTTTCAAAATCCCGACTAATAAACCACGCGTTGATCCACGTTATCTTCATTAATTGAAGTCTATATCCATTTCGTCATAATCAAACTTCATCCAGGTCGACCAAATCACCTCGTTTAAATTCACAGGGTAATCGATTCTCAATGGTGATTCTACTACCTCAACAAAAATGGGATCTGAGAGGAGTGGAAAAAGTGCTCAATGGCTTTTNGCTTTTATCTACTCAAAGATCTTGTGGCCAAAGCTCAAGTAACCGGTGTGGCACTTCGGTTACCACGATTCAAAATTGAAAGTCAAATAAATTTGATCCCATACATGCAGACATTGGGTATTCAGGACCTCTTCACTCGAGGATTGGCCGATTTGTCAGGTAAGCTAATCAATAAAATATGGTACACATTGGATTCAAAAGGACCAATGACGAATCGCATAACTGCATTCATTCTCTCTCTCTCTGACTGGATTAGTCTCAATAAAAATTAGATAAAGCACTTAGACCTTGAAGTTTGAACGAATAATTTGACCCCTGTATTGTCTCCCACCCCCTTAGAGCGCTCACCTTCTCTGAGTGAATATGCCACCCCGAAACCGGATGATATTACCGTTGAAGCTCACCGAGAGGGAAGATCCCCGTGGGTCAAACACTCCCGTCATGTTCTTTGTTCATGGATTGATAGAGAACGCCTCTGGGCCCTCTTGCTTTCTTAGATTATAGGGTTACACATAAGAAAGCCTGCGTGAACCCTGTAGGTCGCTCGGGGTTTCCACCGGCGTTACTTGGAATCAACTGTCACAGAGCTTCAGTTGTTAATCCTGAATTACGCGTAAATTTGTTAGCGACAGATATGGATACCCTCATTGGTGGATGTTGTCAATGTACTTTTAGACTTCAATTTCTTAGGCGGAAGGACTACTAGTTTCAATTGAAGTAACCACTGCATCTGCCACACCGTAGCATTTGAATTCGTAGACACCCATAAATCGTGACGAAAAACCTCACCTACTCCGGCTGATCTGGTAAACCGTAACATTCTGGATAAGATTCGGTGAAGGGCACTGCATCCCAGTTCGATGTACAGGTCGCACTAACAAATGAGCGGGGAGAAGCACAGACGTACATCATATGTGGAATAGAAACGTTTTAACTCATTATTCTGAAAAGAAAGAACAATTATGTTCAGTTTACTTAACTGTTCGCCATTTTGTCCAGTGAGCATTTTTACAACCAAACACGTCGAATATGAAGCGGCCATAGTTGATATATGTGAGTATATATTAGAAATTAAAACACCACGCACGTTGAGGATGCACAGGCTCTAGTCTCAGGTGACAACAACGAGGATTCGACTATTAGGAGCAGGATACAATTAAGAACACAGTGTAGGTGAACATGTTTTCGGTGAATTCCATTTCACGCCTTCACAATCACATTTATATGAAACAATTTCAATACGGTCAAACAGAAAAGTGGATCAGTCATGTGTTTGGCAATGAGCCCAAGAGAACTCAAAATTTGTGAGCAGTTTGGATCACATAACCAAAATAGTTACGTCATGGTCGTGTGAACAAACGATTTTTCTCTTCCCCTGGCCTAGGAAGTTTGAGAGCTTGAATCAGTTTGGGTTGTGCGCGCAGCTCAGGCTTCATGAGTCGGATGCTAATCGCCTCTGCGGTTGCCAACGTCCGAAACCGTATTGTTCTCGAGGGGTGTAGTGAGACTCGATAGATGATCGTAAATGCTGAGCGCATGCCAACCAAGTGTCTCGTCTTTAACCAGATGAACCACAATCGAGCTTGACACAACTCCACTCCCACCCTTTGTGAGCCAGCGTAGATTGCGTTCTTTGATCCGTTGAGATAACTGCCTTGTGGTTCGACCTACGTAAGTCGCACCATAGGTGCACTTGAATTGGTAGACAATCGTAGATGAGGTCAACATAGGTTATTTATCTTTGTTGTAGCATCGGATGTTTGGTGACGTACAGAACAAACATCTTAGTAGTGCGGCATTGAATGTAGATTTACCGCTGAGGATAAAACTCTGCTGACCCTCTTAGTGGCGGCATCACGTTTGAATGGAAGTTTTATAACAAGCATCTATCNCACACAGGAATAACGGATTCAGACAAGCTGCTCTTCGTCAATTTGATGAAACAAAGTTCCGTGCTCAAAGTGAACGAGGAGGGAGTGGAAGCCGCCGCGGTGACTGGGATGGCCGTTGTTCCGTTGTCCCTTACTGTACCGAAAGTGGAATTTCATGTGAATCATCCATTTGTCTGTTTCATTTATGATCGTGAATTGAGATTGCCGTTGTTCGCGGCCCGTGTGACAAACCCACAACAGCCGTGATGCGCTTATGCTTTCAAATCCCGCGTCCGATTCATCGCTACATATTAGCTCTTGCTGGGATGTTTCCTTCATTCGATTATCTATTTCATGCACGCAGATGTTAGTCAAATAGTAGAAATAAATGTGTTCACTCTCATTCACATTCTGGTTCACGTATAAAGCAGCGTAACAACTTTCGGTAACTCGTGTATATTACCTTCGCTGGTAAACCAACTCGGGGGTTTCTGGAATCAAAAAGTCCCTCGAGTTAACAGATTGCTCTATTGGACCGTCTGGTGCCAACCTAGCTGCGACAGGCCCAACAGAACCAAATGGAGAGATAGATAAATACGCTAGGCTTACGCAGATAACTCAGGACTGTGTGGACATAGTGGACCGGCAGCAGATTCTTTAATCAAATTTGTTTGCACTACAGACGTAGTGTTCTAAATTGACCTATTTGTCATTCTCATCTTTCATACAATCTGATTTCACATTGTAGCGATATTGAATAAAACGTAAGCAACGTGGCCGAAAGTCAACCGAAGATGGGTTCAGCCCTGGCTCAAGCCAAATCCCCATGATAGTGAAAAGCACCCCGTCCGGATCAACCTCTGTGCTAATCTATTCGTTCTTGAAAAAACTTTTGCAGGTCAGTACCTTCACGAATTTATCATGCGGTCGAAAAATGTTGAGTGATAGCTAGTGGAGAGCACTGGAAGGCTGTGCTTTCGCCCCCGTTTACGACCCATTAGCAAACAGTGCGCATTTTTTTTGGGTCGCTGATAGGATCCAGTGTTAGGACACAACATTGCCCAGAACTAGACAGATGGGAAAGATGGTTTTCCAAATGGGTGCCTAAGACTATAGGGCACGGCATACTTTGCGGCAGCCCACACCGACGAAGGGGTTTCTCTTTGGGAACCCCAAGCGGAGCCTTTGACTCAAAAGTTCGACCCACAAGGTAGTGGGGCGTAAATCGAACGCGGGAGCGTGAACGAAGCACCCGTGTGGGAGCTTCCAGAGCCCTATCACGCAAGGCCTTCGGGGTTCCGTTAAGTGTGTTGTTCGTTGGTGCGTTGATTGTCGGTCCGCTTTTCGGGATCGACCCTGAGCCTCGTACACCCAATGAGACAAGCGGGACAGCACCTTATTGACTGCCCAGTTTAGGCGGGCGGTGTCTGCCCGATGAATTGCGAAGACTTGTACCACCGTCGAGAGGAAGCCCCACGTACCCCGCTCCTACGTCCATCTAGTGGCGTTTTTTGACCGGTAAAACGCCCCTTGCCGTATTTATTTGCTGGAGTGACCTCTCCAGAGGCGGGTGTGGATAAAAGAAGGAAGTCCAGAGGTGCCCAAGCAGCTGGCTTTGTGGGACTAAGCTTCATCTAGCCTCTACCTGTTGACCTTTCAGGTATGATTGGACCTACGGCTGTGAAAAGCCATGTGTAGCTCGCAGGGTCATGCAAGCAAGCAAGCCATCCCACCACGTCAAGGCGCCATTTGTGCCAAGCCCTATAACGAGTTGAAACGCTCGACCGGTCACCGAAGGATATTTTCGTTTGACAAGCCCTCTGTCAACCGATGCCACTGGTTCTATGATAGTTCTCCACACTACCGTTCTTTTCTACTGTCTACACAATACCTAAATGAAAGCATTCGCGGCGTGTTTCCACAACGGACTCTGGAACTTCCAGATGCAACACGACTATCTGTTCACCGTCTCCGTTTGCGCGCCTTCGGCAGGTTAGTCCAAAGGTTCGGCTTACCTGAGGCGATTATTTTATACGCAAAATTAACTTGAAGTTAGATATTCGGCCAAAATATTCACCGAAACCCCAGTATCTATCAACCACCTTAATAAGCATATGTAAAAACGCCTTAAGACTGTTCGGATATGATCCAGCACCCGGTTGGAGAAAACCCGCTATGATTCATCCAAAAATGATTATGGAGGAGAACTGGTATCAGCTAGAAGTTAATATATACCAAACAAAAGGTTTTTGAAGATGCAAAGGAATAGGCTGCACTTTTACTCGTGTTGGCAAAGCCTCTCGTCCGGTGCAAATACGACCGGATCGGGCATCGATTAACGGCGAGTCGATTCGGAAGCTTATCTTGCACACGCACCTGATCACTCTGTAAGCACCAAACTTAGTATACGCTTGTTTAACTTGATTTACCAGCTGACCGTGAACCGAAATCGCACAATACTCGCCTTCCGGAGGCTGTCTGTTCGTTCAACCACCCCCAGTTGAATGTGCATCTAGCTTGTCACTTGAACCGCTTTATTGATTTGATAATTACACAGAGGTAAAAATTTTCGATGTCGCCGCTTCCCTTCACCACCGTTCTCATGCTCGCTCGAATTTGGCAAGTAAATATTTATGTGTACTGGTGAGATATTTTTTTCTTGTTCACATGCGATCATGAAAAACGGTCACACGTGGAGTGTTTATGTTAGAATTGGATGCGCATACGAACAAACACGATCCTTGTAAATCTGACAAGTGAACAGATCACGTTTCACTGGCATACTTACAGTCGTGGATAAATTAGTCTCCGCAAGGACACGAAATACGACAAGGGGAGAAGACCTTCGAGACAAATCTGTACCGTGACACATGTCATTCCTCGTAAAATGGAAGGATATTTCGAATCAAGTTTCTCGGCGTTATAAATTGAGAGCCAAGCTGATAATTTTTTATTGCAGGAAAGAAATGTGAGAGGGGAAACAGGGTTAGAAAAAATCAAACACGTAATTTGAAACAGATTGGCTACGTTCTCGTGATACTTTGAATTGACGATCAGTCTAACGGCTCATTCAATTGGTCTGCAGTTACACAGGGAATCCATTATTCGGCTGCCGTTTCCTAGACGGCGTGAGAAACTGCATACTATTTCAATATACCCGCACCAAAACAGTACTCTCTATCACACACGCAATGCGAGTAGT